ACATTGTCAGGGTCATGGTTTGGTCTCCCCTCGACATCCAACAATTTTTCTCACAAACACTATCCGGGAAAAATCAAGATTTTTTGGCTTTCTGCTTCAATTAGGAATTTGTCTTTGAAATGACCTCTATGGTCAACTTTGGCCCATAATATGAAAGTTCATCTGGACGTAAAATTTTGCGCTCTTTCAAAATCCGGGACCAAAAATATGGGTTTCTATTTGAAAATTGAAAGTAGACCTTCAAATAACCTTGAAAATAAAGGTCAAAGTCATTGTCAAGGTCATAGTTCAATCAGCCCCTTCATATCCAACAATTTTTGTTTTAAACATTGTTTTATTTAATCGCGATGTTTCGAATTATTTGGCTGTCTAAGTTAAAATGGGTCACCCTGTATATAAATATATAAATTAAGCATATACGAGGGTCGTCTGAAAAGTTTTGAGCCTCATCATGAAGATGGCGTTACACGTCAAAGCCATTCTGGTATTATAATCGTGATACTTACGATAGATATCTGTGACAATTGTGGCCACTTTGGACGTTCAGTTCTTGTTTGACAATCATTTGTGTCGTCATTTTGTAAAAATGGAAAAAATTAAATATCGTGATATAATTAAATTCTTGCATTTGAAAGCAATACGTCTACACAAATTACAGCCGAGTTGGACGCTGTTTACGGGGACTCTGCCCCACTATTTGCCACTGTGAAAAGATGGGTAGCTGAATTTAAACGTGATACCAGCTTAGCTGATGATGAGCGTTCGGGACGGCCAACAACTGCGACCACTACCGATAACATCGAAGAAATTCATCAAATGATAATGAACAACCGTCGACTTAAGATTAGGGAGATAGTAGAGGCTGTTGGCATATAAAAAGAACGTGTTTGTCATATATTAACTGAAGAATTAGGCATGCGTAAGTTAACCGCGCGTTGGGTGCCGCGCTTGTTCACTCTGGATCAAAAACGCATTCGAATGAACATTTCTAAGGCCCTGTTGGAGCGGTTTAAGCGAAACGAGTCGGATTTTTTGCGTCGATTAATAACGGTTGATGAAACTTGAGTTCACCACTTCACTCCTGAAACGAAAGAACAATCAAAACAGTGGACTGCGAAGGGTGAACCTGCTCCAAAGAAAGCGAAGACGGTTTTATCGGCGGGAAAGGTGATGGCGACTGTTTTTTGAGACAATCATGGAATTGTGTTGATCGACTATCTTGAAAAAGATAAAACAATAACAGGGACGTTACTACGCATCATTGCTTGACAAGCTGAAGGCAGAAATTGAGAAAAAACGACCGCATTTGAAAAAGAAGAAAGTGCTGTGCCATCAAGATAACGCACCGTCTCACACTTCGGCGGTCGCTATGGCAAAAATTCACGAATTGCGGTTCGAATTAATTGACCATCCACCGCATTCATCAGATCTGGCCCCCAGCGACTTTTTTCTGTTTCCTAGGCTCAAAGTTTGGCTCGAAGGACAGAAATTTTCATCGAACGAGGAGGTCATCGCATCCGTAGACGCCTATTTTGCAAAGCAAGACGCTCAGTATTATTTAAATGGATTAAAGGGGTGGGAGCATCGCTGGAAAAAATGTATCGACTTAAAAAGAGATTATGTGGTAAAATAAAATTAAATTTGACCGAAAAATTATTTGTTTCTATGTTAGGCTCAAAACTTTTTAGACGACCCTCGTAAATATACATATATTAAAAAAAAGAAATGTGTACAACACATGCAAAATATTTTTATGCATCTTTTATCTGATAAACACCTTTCCATTAATAATTTCATTAATCGTAAACTCGGTATACTCGGATTGAGTATTATCAGATTTTATATCGGAAGTAATATCATGACGAAACCAAAATTTCTCTATTTTTACTGCATTTCTTTTCTGCGCCCTGATCATATTTTGATCAACTTTGCTAATTGGAATTAAAAGGTTTAGCTTGTAACTCAGAATGACTCTTGTTAATAGTACTGTGAAACAAACTATCGCAGCATTTTCGAAATCTGTGATCTGAACTTCACATGGACGGAATTCTACACGCCAACCGATAGACGAGTTTGGCGGTGGTGGTTTAAAACGCATGGTTTGCCAGTTTGTAGATTGTATGTTCTGAAACAGTATTACAGTTTATGACACAATAAAAGCATTTACAATCACAGTATCGAAAAATTTACATTAGAATTGAATCGGTTATTTCAGAAACTCTATAAACTCTATAAACAAAATCTATTTAAAAACTCTCACTTGTCGAGAGCTGAAAAAAACATTCTAGTTTTTACAACTGTAGCACTAAAAATAATTAAAAATAATTAAAAAATACCTCATTATCTCATATTAAGTGAATGAAATATATCAATTTTAAAACTAATTAAAAAAAAAAATTAACTTTGAAAATATATCCCGAACCCGGCGTGACATTGCGGCACAACAATATATTTTATATATATAGGGGTTTATTTAAGAAATTCCGTATATGTAAAATACTAAAGATATTATAAAGAACATGATGTAACCTAAGAAAGATATTTAACTTTATTATTGAAAAATATTATACAATTCACTAAAAATATACATAATTCTTTAAAAAGAGTAAACTCGTAATATTGAATTTCAATATGCTAAAGTAATTTATTATTAAGTATTTAAAAGGAGCGCCTGATTTACAGGATAAAAAATAGATTTTTTTTCATAAATCAATAGTACCTACAATTTTTAGAGAATATTTTAAAATTTTTCTAAAATTTTAGAGCGAAATTCGAAATCTTCCTAGATTTAGCGCTTGTAACGAGAGCGCGGCATGTAGGTATTAGGCGACGGTTTTATCAAGAAGTACTTGATTCCTATTTATATCAATTTATCAATCAAATAATCTGTTAACGCGATGTCTGGGTGGACATATTTAAAATGTGAACGCAAGTTTTTAATTCGATCTTCTGGAGACTGGCACCAAAGCACCTCAATTGTGGTGTAAAAATACTCGAAATCGCCGCTTTTATTGCTAGTGGCACTTTCAACAAAAAATATTCTGTCGTTTTAAAAATCATGAATGGGTAAATATCGACAATAACGGAACCAGCTCGGATGACCTTGACCTTGGTATATGTTGTCAAGGTCATGCCCCTGGCCTACAGATGGTTTTAGTTGGTGCTCGTCCTTCGTTTAAAAGTTATTACCAAAAAGGTTCAAAACAAAAGCGAGGGCTACCTTACAATTATATTAACATTAAGTGTATATAAAATAAAACATCTCTGTTTTAAAAGGATTTCCTACTTTAAAAACAAAAAATCTCTGCTTTAAAATATATTAGGTCAATCGGAAAGTTCCGTCCGTTTTTTTGCAAAAAGTATGGTTTTAATTAAAAAACAAAATGAAAAAGTATCTCAATTAAAATATTGTCCTTCGTTAGCGATGACTTTTTCCCATCTTTCAGGCAGTAACCGAATTCCGCGGCGAAAGAATGACTCATCTTTGGAGGCTATCCACTTAGAGACCCATTTTTCGACGTCTTCATAAGAATTGAAGTGTTCCTCTGCAAGTGCGTGTGCCATCGATCGAAATAAGTGATAGTCGGAAGGAGTACAGTCTGGTGAATAAGCCGCATGGGGTAGCACTTCCCAGCCAAATGCTTCTAACATTTCCTTGACAAGTTTTGTGACGTGAGGCCGAGCGTTGTCATGAAGCAAAATGACTTTATGCTGTCTCGTTTCATATTCTGGTCGTTTTTCGTGCAATGCTCGGCTCAAACGGATAATTTGTTCTCGATAGAGATCCCCTGTGATTGTTTGACCGGATTTCAACAGCTCGTGGTACACTACACCTTTCTGATCCCACGAAATACAGAGCATTGCCTTCTTTCCGTGGATATTCCGCTTTGGCGTCGATGTCGATGGTTGGCCTAGATTGCAAATGGTTTTTCGGCGTTTGGGGTTATCGAAATAGATCCACTTTTCATCGCCAGTCACAATTCTTCTCTCAGTGTAAAAACTCTTTTCTTTGTTGCCTAGCAAGCAGAATTTCGCAGGTGGTTTTTCGCCTTTCAACGTCTCTTGGCTTCAGTTCATATGGGACCCATTTTCCTTCCTTGTAGATCTTTCCCAAGGCTTTCAAACGATCGGAAATAACAGATTGAGCACAATTTAATGCTTGTGTAAGTTGTTTTTGCGTTTGACATGGATCTTCATCCACTAATGCCTGCAATTCTTCGTCTTCAAATGCTCTTGGTCGTCCAGAACGCTCTTTGTCCTCCACATCAAAATCACCACTTTTAAAGCGTCGAAACCATTCTCTGCATGTTTTATCGGAAGGAGCACTATCACCATAAACTTCTACAAGCATTCGATGAGCTTCAGCTAGTTTTCTTCCATTTGAAGCAAAAGATTAACACTTCGCGCAAATGATGCTTATTTGGCTCAAATGTCGACATTTTCGATGCAGTAAAAAGCAATGTTATTGATGCAAACGTATACTTTTATATACTGAATTTTATTAACGGATGGTAAAACTAAAAAATTATGCTTGGTTTAGACATTAGAGTTATCGACAGTTCTAGCTATAGCTACTCACCGCTAGATGGACGGAACTTTCCGATTGACCTAATAATGGATTTTCTATTTTAAAAATAAAAATTCTCTGCTTTAAAATAGATTTTCTGCTTTAAAAACAAAAAATCTTTACTTTAAAATAAATTTCTTACGTTAAAAACAAAAATTCTCTGCTTTAAAATAGACGTCCTATTTAAAAAACAAAAATTATCTGCTTTAAAATAGATTTCCTGCTTTAAAAACAAAAATTCTCTGCTTTAAAATAGACGTCCTATTTCAAAAACAAAAATTATCTGCTTTAAAATAGATTTCCTGCTTTAAAAACAAAAATTCTCTGCTTTAAAATAGACGTCCTATTTCAAAAACAAAAATTATCTGCTTTAAAATAGATTTCCTGCTTTAAAAACAAAAATTCTCTGCTTTAAAACAGATTTCCTACTTTAAAAACAAAATTTCTTTACCTTGAAATAGATTTCCTGCTTTAAAAACAAAAATTCTCTGTTTTAAAATAAACTGGTCTTTTAAAGCAGAGAATTTATCTACTTGATTTCATTTTAAGTTTTTGTTTTTAAAGCAGAAAATATATTTTAAAGTAAAGAATTTTTTTTTTAAAGCAGGAAATCTACTTTAATGTAGAGATTTTTTGTTTTTAAAGCAAGAAATCGATTTTAAATCAGAGATTTTTTGTTCATAAAGCAGGAAATTTATTTTAAAGCAGAGAATTTTTGTTTTTAAAGTAGGAAATTTGTTTTAAAGCAGAGATTTTTTATCCTGTACTATGTACCACGTTTTGGTACTCGTGAAAACCATTATCATTAATATATTGCGGTATTTTTGTTGAAAATATTGTACACATTTTATAAACGTATAGACGCATTTTTTGAAATAATGAGCAAGTTATATTCAATAAATTAATTTTTGATGTATTAATATCTTATTTTTGAATGCTTTATATACATGTAACGTTAATATAGTTGTGGGATAGACCTCGCCTTTGTTTAGATCCTTTTTGGTAATAACTTTTAAACAAAGGACGAGCACCAACTAAAACCATCTCAAGGTCACTCAGGGTCATGACCTTGACAACATATGCCAAGGTTAAGGTCATCCGATCTGAGACGTTATTGTCGATATTTACGCATGAATAAATTGGAAATTAATATTGGATCGGAAAGCAAGCACTATGTATGATGTACAACAAATCTTCAGGCAGAAGTGACTGAGTAGCATAAAAAAGGGTACATTTACACACTGTAGCACAATTGCCCATGGCCCAATATTGCTAGGGATGGGAAAAAATTTCCCTTTAAATTTGAAGATCTTTTTCTTTCCAAGGGATTTTTTAGAAGTACAAGTTTAGGAGAATTTTTGGCGGGCTTTTTAGGAGCAAAATACAAAGAAATATTCAAATTACGACTAAAACATTGAGAAAATCGCAATATACGGGGATAACTTTCGAACAGACCTGGCAATACTGCCACTGTCAATCACAGCGACTTTTGCGTAGGGATTTTTTTTCTAGCATTGTAATTGGCTTGTGCGCAAGTGGCTCGTGTGCAATTGATATACATCCCACAAAAGAGACCCCAGCAGCACGTAGGCAGACCGAAATTACTCACAATGAATTTAATGAAGAAGCAAAAGGGTTATTGTAGGGCTATTGTATGCCCCTGGAATAGATTAGTCCCCGAGCACTGTAAGTACTTAAGAATTATATTATTCTTTTACATCAAAAACTTTAAACGCGTTTCCTAAAAATCTATTTTTAACATTTTCTTCAATTTTATGTACACGATTATAAAAAAAGCAAATAACTTTATACATATAAGGCTCGTTAGTTAGATAATGGTCAACTCTCCTCGATGAACCTAAAAGGTTAAAAAAAATCATTAACAATTTTTTTGTATGAAGAAATAGAGGCTACCTAGTGAAAATCATAACTTTTTTTTCAAAGTCGAACAAAATTTTAATTGTTATATTTTTTTTAAGTTTTCAAGTTTATCTAGGAAAAAAATTATATGAAAATTAAAAATATATCTTGATTTTTTGTTTCAGACCAGAATTAAAGTCATCAGAATGCACACAAAATGATGGCGTCGACGTCTAGGCGCAAACTTCAATGTTAATTTCTTTGTTATTAACAATACCTTTTTTGTATACAAAAATTTAATTACATTCTGAAAACAATAGAAAATATTATTTACTATTTCTTTTTTAAAAAATCGCGAAAAATCACCTATTTTTCGGTCTCTTAAATCAGGCGCCCACTCTAAGGTCCGATTGCATAGGTCCACTGTTATTTTGACTTCAAACTCTCTTTTTCGTTTTTTAAAGCACAGAGAGAGAGAGAGAGAGAGAGAGAGAGAGAGTTTTAAGCCTCGCTTAAAATTAAAGTAATATTGGTGCAATCGGGCCTTAATGTAAAAAGAAAATATATAAGTCATCATAAGTTACTACTTCTCACGTAAATGTAAATTTGATCAAAGAATTGGAAAGAGTAAGGGCACTAGGAGTGGGCGCAGAAGATGTCGCGCAAATAATACACTTATAAAGAGTGAAACTTCTTTATTCACTAAACGCGCTTACATGTTTCGACTCATTTTTGAGCCTTCCTCAGAGCAAACACACATTAACATATATAAAGTAAAAATTATCCTATCATGGTGAGCTCCCCTACATCGAGAATTTAAATGTCAGAATTAAATAAAAAGAAAGAAAAGAAAATGAAAAAGAAGGAAAATATAAAAAATGTCAAATTAAGGAATATAGAAACTAATTTATCGAAAAACTAACCGAAAATAGGGACACTCACCACGATTACAAAGTACTGTATCGCAAACAATATTATGAATAATTCAAGAACCGGTTCCTGATATGTTGACCAGTCGGTATCAGACACAGTGAGTCACTTTTTTTAGTTATTAGCTAGTACTAATGAAAATTGTAAAATGATAAAAAAATTTCAGACAGAGAAATACAGATAGATCCTAAGTCCTTTCTTCCACTGATTCCTTTTCCTTCATTTACCTCACAAAGGAATGGCTGGTTCGTGAATTTGTCAACCGTTTCCATACCTTTTAATATACAGAACTTTTTGCAATTGGGAGAGAACTTTGCCTTACCTTTTAACAATAGATTAAATTTAGCGGTCGATCTTATTAAGTGTATCGAAAGTAATATTTATAAATTGCCTATAGATGAGCGGATTTCGATCTCGAACCACTCACTTCCTGTGTTAAATAACTTAGCTTCTTGTTCCTTACATTGCACGGAAGTAGATAGGAGTTTGTTACAGTTAGCGAAAGATACTAGGGTTTTTTAAGGGATATGAACGATAGGGTGATTTTTACTCGCGCGGATAAGGGGAATGTGACGGTAGCATTGGATAGACAAATGTACATTTCCAAGGTAAATGAAATGCTTCAAGATGTCAATACTTATGAGGTAGTTGTAAGGGATCCGACGACTTTACGGGATTACGCGCTTTAATAGTTAGGTGGAAAGAAAAGAAGTATATATCTGATTCCACATATAGAGGTTTGTTATGTAATGACGGGATACTTCCGATGGCCTACGCTCTTCCGAAGATACATAAGCAGTACTGCCCCTTTCGTATAATAGTTTCTTCGATAAACAGTCCTTTATATTCGTTAGCAGTGTTTCTTCATAGCATTATCATTAAAACAATTCCTAAGGCGGATAGTCATATCGATAATAGTTTTAAACTCGTTAAGGAACTTGATGGTAGGCGGTTGAGTGAGTAATTTCAGTTAATGTCACTGAATGTTGTTAGCCTCTTTACTAACGTTCCCATTGATTACGCGATGGATTGTATCCAAGACCATTGGCGATTTATTTCTAGAGATTGTTGTTTCCGAAGGAGGAATTCATCAAGGCGGTTCAGTTTATTTTAGATTCTACTTTCTTTGTGTTTGATAGTGTTATTTATAAACAGAATTATGGTACTCCCATGGGCTCCCCGTTGTCTCCTGTCATCGCGGATTTAGTTATGCGTAAGTTGGAGAGTAGAGCTTTGTCTTTGATTAAGTTTCCATTGCCCCTTTACTACAGATATGTTGACGATATAA